AGTACATCCCCCCTTTTCTTCACCTTTCCACAGTTAGTAGTGTAATCTGTAGTAGATAGGAATCATCAGTAACTTCTTAATGTACTCCTGATTATCTGAGTTATTCTTTGGGTACATAATTGTTCAAAATTTAATGGACACCTCAGTCATGAGAAATTTGCTTAATCATTGATGGGTTTATAGAAACAACCTGTTATAGCTTTATAGGTTATTGAAAATACAGTTCTAAAATAACCCATTACTATTTTTCACATCAAACAATATGCCTTGTATTTCAACATTAAATGAATGCTCCAACATCCTAATAAAAAGTCTTCTCAATTGCCTAGATTAAATGCAATACAGAAGCATGTACAAGAACATATGTTAGAAACAACATATTAAAAGTCCTGCTGATAGAAGTTGTATTTTTATTTTGAATCTTTAGTTTCTAAGAAAACTTGGACCATAGATAAAGACTTTCAAAGACCAATGACCAATTCACTTATTCTATTAACTTCAATAGTCCTTCTCTTTTCCAGGTCTAAGTGTTAAACATTTAACAAGTTAACAAGCTGATGTCAGCAGATTTATATAGTTATATTTTGGGACTCAATATAGTACTAAATATGGAAAATGCTTATACACAATGAAAACAAGGTCGAAAGGTATTTTGACAACTGCTGTTTCTGAGCAAAACTGAAGACACCACAGTGATCCATCTAGTCATCTTAGACATCATTAACTTATTTACAGACAATAAATGATTGCATTTGGACTTGAACACTTACACTTGCCACCTCTAAGAAAAAGCAGTACTGACACACAAAAGCAGGGAGCAACATATGGAAAGGCTAGAAGCAAACATTAATCTTCTTTGCATTTAAACTCACCAGCCTCTGCAGCTGACACTAGGTGTTCGGTTGCACTGAGACTTTCCAGCTTCCCTTCCTTCTTGTAAGCTTTAATGGCATTGTAACTGGAAAATGTAAAATATATTTTGGTAAAGGTGGAAACAAACCTTCATCACTAAAAACCAAACCCAAAACAACAAAACACCTCACTTAAGATCGTGGAAAACAGTAGGTGGTACACAGCCTTTGAAAACAGGTATCTAAGCAAACTACCTTTGTTTAGCTGATTAACTGAGCAGTTGGCTTGTTAAAGTGAACTATGGTAATACATATTTAAATTGATAAAGTATTACTGTCACTATCAATGGGACTGCATCATGAAACAGCTACCAGATCTCAGGAATTAACTTCTAAAAGAAACCTATTAGACAGCCTCCTTTTTATTGAGAGCAACAGTAACAGGTATCTATCTTCTGGCTCAGAAATACACTGACTCTCTTCTCTTGATCCAGTTTCCAGTCTTTGTGGATTAAGAAACTGTCAACAGGAGCTGAAATGTCAACAGGAACCTATAGCAAAGCTTCAAGACTGAAGTACAACAATAACAGAGTCTAGACAACTGACAAGTGAGGTTTGCACAGGCATACCAACTATTCCCTAAAGTGTTTCAGTTAATAGGGATCAGCAGTAAATCAGGTCGGTTACATAGCTAATAAAACAGAAAAGATTGAGTGTTAAAAAATGGGCTTTATGAGCAAAGCCCATCAACTCATAAAAACAATGAAGGAACTGACTGTCACTAAAATTATTAAAAATCAGTTAAACGTTTAACTTTAGTAGAAAACTTTATCATGTTCTCTAATTCTTAACATGTCAGTTTAGGGTTTTATTTTTCAAGAGGTTTTAAGCACAGTGTATTTGCACTTTTAGAGGAGTCTTCATGAATGATGTCACCATCTCTCAAGTTCCTTAGTATTTTCACAGCATCAAGGGAATGCACTTGACAAAGTAACAGGTCTCTGACTCAAATTGCTTAAATTCTAAAACAGCAAACCATAATAAAGGGTAACAGACCTGGACTTACTAAAAGATTCATAAGTTTATAAGCCACTTAGCACATCTTTATACCCCCCAAAGAAGATGCAGTGTATATCTGAACATTACATTGCACAGGATATGACACGTTTTACAGTTCTACTTACAAGAAAAAGTAAAGTCCCCAGGAAGCCCCCGCTCCCAACATGTTTGGAGTTACCCCTTGATATAAGCCTCGTAGTCCTTCATGCTTCCAGACAGTGGTCATACAGTGGAGAATCCCATTGTATTTTGGCCTCAGCTCCAATCCATCACTTACTACGAAAGAAAGAAATTATACTGAAAAACATTTCAGGAAGCTGAAGTTCAGCTGTGTAAAAGTCACCACAGAAGTACACACAGCCTCCAAAGCAGGTTTCATGTTCATTTGCAGCTTAACTGATCAGCTGTATTTTAAAAGTATTCTTTTAAAAGTATGCAAGAGTTGGGGTTTACAGCTTCGTAAGTCTAGAGTTAAAGAATTAAAAAAACAAAACCAAACAACCCAAAGAAAAGAAAAAGAACTTCTAAGCTCTGCGAGATGAAAGTTCCCATCAATCTGACAAGGCTAAATAAATGCACTGCTGTGCATTTTTGGTGGCCAGCAGCTTTGAATTGAAGTTTTTTTTGTCTCTTCTTTTTAGTACCCCAGCAATTTCACATCATATTTCAAGTAATACATGTGGGGTCTTTGACAACACATTTCTATAAGGAGTTTAGACAAGCCCCAAATAACAACTCTTAAATTCAACCTTCCTCTTTAAAATGTTTTATAAAGGTCTGAATATTTTCAACGGGTCATGTCTTATTGATTCTAGAGTCAGTTTTCACCAGAACACTCAAAGGTTATTTCTGTCAAAAATTCCTGTGTTCTCCTTCTATTCTCATTGAATGGATTTGCAGGAAAACACCAAATGCATACACTTTTCCCACCCAATAACCAAACAGGTGGTTGTCCAAATATTCAGAAAATATCACTGTCAAATAGATAAAACACATGCAAGTTTTTGTTTGACAGACTTCATTTAGAACACAGACGTTCACACACCTTACAGTGGTAACTACTATTCGTCCTACCGTAACAGCAAGAGTCAATTACTGATGACGCGTGTGATAAGGCACATGGTGAGATGACAGGAAGTAACAGACACAAGCTGGAACAGAGGGAATTCTGACCAGAACTTTTTCTCCATCAGAGTGATCAAATACTGGAACAAGTTGCCTGAAGAGGCATCTTTGGAGCTACTCAAAATGCCAGCAGACAAGACTGAGCAATCCGATCTAAGCAGACCTTATCTGAGTAGGGGGTGAACTCCATATATCTCTTCTGACCTAGATTATGATGCCAACACAGTAGCAGCTTTCAAATAGAGACACAAGGCTAGACTGCAATTTTACTGAAAATTAATCTCAAAGTTTTACAGTCAGCGCAGTTTTTGTGTCCCCATCAACATTAATCCTGGTAATCATGAATTTCAGATGTTTTCTTTTCAGTGGCACATTTACTATTCTTTCTTCTTTGAACTTTTATACTGTACTGGGTGTTGTGACAGACTTCAGGGCTAAAGACAAAATGCTTTTTCTGAGCACATTGTGACAAGGCCTCAACACCTTGACAATCACTCAAAACTAGCACACAAATTAGATGCCTATTTTCTCCCTCCTGAATGAGCACTGCTAGAGCTTTTCCAAAGGCCTTTCTGGTTTTTTTTACCATGCTGCCATTAGATCAGATTTATGAACACAGTAAACAACATGGGAAATCAGAGACATGAAGGCAAGTCTGTCTGTCAATGATGCTGCCACGAATCTTCACATGATTTCTGATATCAGCTCTTACTTCCAGGTTGAAGACAAAACAAAGGAATCATTATTTTCAACCCAAACAAGCATATGAAAAGAAGTGACCTCCACAGGTGACTGAACCCAATCTCCTGCTCAAAACAGATCTAATCAGACCAGGCTACTCAGGGACACACCCAGTCAGCTCCTGAATGTTGCCAAGGCTGAAGAGATTACAGCCTCTCTGGGTAACCTCTTCCAGTATTTGACGACTCCCATAATAAAAATCCTTTTTCCTAATAAATAACTGGAATTTTCCATGTTCCTGCTTCTGCCTGTTCCCTCTTGCCCTACGACTATTCACCTTCAAGAAGAATCTGGCTCCAACTTCTCTGTGTCCTCCAGTCACACAGTCATAGACTGCAATAATATCTCCCCTCAGCCTTCTCTTCGTGAGGCCAAACCTATCCTGTTCTGTCAGCCTGTCCTCCTACGTCATGTGCACCAGCCCCTTCACCAGTGTGGTGGCCTCTACTAGAATCACACCAGTATGTCAGTTTGAGCCCCAAACTAGACACAGCACTTCAGACGTAGTCTTACAAGTGCGAAATAGAGAGAAAGGAGCACTTCTGCCAGCTATGCTCTTTGCAATACAGCCCAGGATGTGCCCACAATAGGAAATGCAGGGAAGTGTTTAAATCCAACTTTGCAAGAAGTCTGTTTGGAAATGTAATGCTTTAAATTTTATAAAACTTCCCTGTGATAGTTCACTATTTGTTTTTAAGACCTTCAACAGCCACCTATGCATTTAAGGTAACAATCCACAGATACAGCAAAACGTTTCAATCTCTACAAGAGAGAATATCATAAAAGGGCAACGTGTTTCTCATAATGACGACAAAATCGATAGGGAGAAGCCGACACGGTTCCCTGTGGAAAACCAAACAAGTTGGAGTTTTCTGCAAAACAGTACCACTCCTGTTAACAACCAAGATTATCATAAAACTCTGTTACGCTTTGAGCGTTGAAAATCTTTGGCATAAAGGCGAACTTTGAACGTTGGCCTGAGACAATCCGCCTGTTAAAAACAATCTTGCCGTGTCCTATGGCACTGGCGGTCAGGAGGAGCGGGAAAAGCCTGGTCAGCTCTCTGATCTGCCTGAAAACAGCCCGCGGCACACAGCACATGTTACAGTCCCTAGAAACGACAAGAAGATTAAGCTTTGGGGGGAAAAGAACCGGAGACCGCCCCTTTCAGCCTACGGTCCGTTTCTTCCAAGCCGTGGGGCCACCCTGCCGGCGCCTCTGGCCATGCAGCCGCGGGCAGGCTCATCCGGCCGTGCCCTCCCTCAAAAAAAAGCCGGTACGTCACGGGCTTAGAAAGGCCGCGCTCGGCCAGATTTGTGCGCTTTTCGCTGAAAGCACAGTTTGTCTTTGTAGCCCTCAGCGGCGAGCTCCCGGGGGGGAGGGAGGGGAGCCGGGCTCGGGGGCTTCCCCTCACGGCACACCCGCCGCCTCAGCGAGAGCCCCGGCCCCGCGGGGGCCGCCCCAGCCCCGGACGCGGGGAGCCACGGCAGC